GAGAAAATAAGCAAATAAGAGCATTTCTCAATAATTAGATTATTTTGCCCTCGAAACAATTATGTTTTAGATATAGATATAATTGTAAAAGCGTTTTTGCGTTACATAGGATTCAGTGAAGTGTCGTGTAAATATGTATCATACTTTGGCCTTTGTTTGTTAACAAAGGAGTACCGCAGCGTTGTATTTTAGTTTAACTTCTTTTTGCGATTTTTACATTCAGGTTTTACCATTTTGTGATCATCATCTTTTTGCCGATGACACTGAGAAGTGCTTTTATGAAGGAAGTAACAGTATTCTGATTTCAATAGCTTTTACGATTCTATCACTTAATATATGCTAGTACTTAATCCTAATAAATCCGCCTGTTTTAAAAATTTGGAAGCCCTCTTACGATGGGCACAGGCTTAGTGAACCATATTTTCGCATGACGTAAAATTTGTCACTGAGAGCTGCCCGTCTATCTCAAAATATCAAATATATGTTTGGTTGGGTTTATCCCCATATGCTAAATGAGCTTCTTGTCTATTCACACGATAATCTTTTATAATGTGACTACAAGCTTTTTGGGACATTTGTTCCAGTTATGCCCGTTTTCTTTGCAATTAAAACATTTTCCGTTCGCCTTTTCCCAGATATGTGTTTGTCATTATAGGGTTTTTTAGATTTATGTATTGGTATTGCTTTCGATAGCAAAATTTTTTCTCTTATCGACTTATTGCTATACATTTACAGAGTTGACAAATTTTCGGCATAGAGAGCTTTAGGCGTTTGATACCGTCCAGCCCTAGCACCAATCTGGATATTTGGTTCGTTTATTCCATCAATAACACACAAGACTGCATCTCGTTCTGTAATACGACAGCCATAATTTATGAATTTTTACAAAAAATTAACATTTTTCGCAGATAGATCTTGGTGTTTAGGAAAAGTATCAACTAATAAATATTTCCATTCGGTCCATGTATAATTATAAGATGTCAGATTATCATACCCCCCTCCTTGCCACTCCGGGTAATCTATTTTACATGACAAATATATTCATAGGCTCATCCCAGTTTTCTAACTCTGCTAGTTGTTCAATTTTGTAAACTCGTTTAGTACTACTTAAAGCTGGATTACTTAGGGCAAATTCCGGTACGCGATCAGGTTTAATATAGGAATTGGTGGGCAACGCGAGGCCTGTCCGAATCCTGCGGTGATAATTTTTCCATTAAAGAATCCACCAATTGAGCTTGTTGAAATAAGAGGTTCATCGCTCGCCGCGTTGCGTGACGAAGTCGGCGGTGGAGCAAAACTCGTCCGAATTATCCGACGTCGTTCTATGGCGTCGCGTAGCCATATTATAATATAAATCAAATAATCTGTCCAATAGGCTGTTAAACACACGCACACAGTATATAAATGCTTTTGACAATTTAATTACTTTTTTTTATTTTAATGTTTACAATCGAGGTGCAGATAATCATTTGTGCGTGTGTTTGTGATGCTGGGTAAATAAAAATTAAATGTCAATTATTTGACAGCTTTCAATTTTGTTCATTGGTAAAAAATAATTTTGGTTAGTTTTTTACTTGAATTGTCCTTATAAATCCATTGATTAACGAAAGACAAATCAAACTATTAACTGTAAAGCTAATTATTCTAATAAAAAGTATATATATATATATATATATATATATATATATATATATATATATATATATATATATATATATATATATATATATATATATAATTTATTGTTGATAAAAAATAAGCCATTTAAAGCTGATGGAGTTTTCAAATAGAGAATTAGCAGATATTCATTTTGTATACGGCATTTGCAATGGCAGAACTGGGGAGGCGGTACAAGAGTATCGTAGGAGGTTTCCTAATCGTCGAGTTTTTATTAATGCATATAGGCATTTAGTCGAGCATGGATCATTTGAATTCGTTTCCCTGTAACTTCTTTCTGCTGAATCGAGTCAAAAAACCATTACGGGAAACGCGTTTCGGCAGCCTAGAGGAAGAAATGGAAAAATGGCAGGAAGCACTAATGGACATACCATAAACCAAATATAAAAAATGTGTTGAGGAATGTGTTGCAGTCGATGGGGATTAGTTTGAAGGTGACAGTATAGATTTAGATGGATAAAACATATTTTTAATTTTCTGAATAAATTCAGGGGACTTTGTTGTTTCTAGTATTGTTTTCAGTCTTAGGAATTTGATATCATTGTACATGTGTCGTCAACTGCCATTTTATTTAATGGTAGACATGCGGTTTCAGAAAATGCCAATCCGAGAGGTGATCTACAAATTTATAAACCAAATGTACTTTTTTTATTGTGGTATTGGGGAAAAGTATAAAATCCTTAAGGTTTAATTAATTAATCTCTTGTTTTGTTCCATATTGGTAAAATTAATACCATCATTAAGTAAATATATAGCTGGCTATTTGTATTTGTCTTTTAGGGTTTTAAATTGAGGGCTTGACACTTTAGCCATCTACATAGCCTGGTGCATAGTTGCTGGGTACATAGGGTGATACAAAGTTCATCGGAATTGTGTGCTGTTCTGGGAAACTTAAGTCCGCCGATACAGAAACCTGCGAAGGTAAGCCATATCTTTTTTTTCTTCACCAATTTAATGTGTTGATAATAAATTCCCTAACAAAATTTATGTAAGCTGGTGTAATAATTGAAAATACTTTTTCTGTACCAAAGATTTCATTTTAATTTAAATTTTTTGTATAACAAAAATTATTTCATTTGCACTTTCCAAGCTGATTATACTGAAAAAAAGTTGTAGTCTTATTCCACATATTGAGGCTGTACTATATTGTTTATTTCTCATCGCTAATTGATGCAGACAATTTGGCCATGTGGTTACACGATTATGTGTCTTAGTGGGGAACTCTGCCTCCGTCATTCAGATTGCCTGTATTACGGTATATTTTGCTGCCTTTATATATCAAAGTTTCGATATCGACATATATACAGGGTGTTTAAAAATAGATGCGAAAAATTTAGTTTCTATATAAAAAAATTAAATGTAGGTCGAATGTCAAAAAAAAAATAAATAAAAATACAAATAATTTTTGTTCGGTGTTGTGTGTTGTCCAACGGTATTTGTACTAACATTTAAGATAATCTTCCAAACAATTATGTTTCAAAAATAATTTATAATCAAACATAAGCTGTGATTAGGTATACCATTTAGATATGCTTGTGTATAAGTACAAACTTTAAAGAATCAAAGAATTTGAATTTGTTCTCCATTACTTAAAATGCATTTCTGCATTAGTGTAATTAATCATTATTGAATTAAAACTTTTTATTATTAAACAATTGAAGAATTAGATAATCAGTTTGAATTAGTGCTATTTTTTATTTAAACTAACTAAGTATTGTCAAATGAAACAGTAATAAGAAACGCCATAGGAAGTGACTATAATTTTTTTGATTATATTTTTTTATTTGTGGACAGTGAGCGTTATGAAAATATTCCAGAAGACAAAAGTTTCTATATAAAACATAAAATTAACAAAATAAGTTTTTCTTTGGTGCTATATATTTTCTTCTTTTAGATAAAACATAAAAACAACGTTTATATAACCAACTACGCTCTATTTTACACATAGAATTACCCCCTTAAGTTTTTCTTCTTTGTTTTGAAACACCATAAATACAGGGCAATTGACGCTATGGCCAAATGGTTTTCAAAAAATTTTGCTTATGGGATGCTTAAATTTCTATTATGGTATTTTTAAAAAGCCATTCAAGCAATAAGTGACATCATCTGAATAAACATAAACTTGGGAAATTTGAATTTAAATAAGATTAACCCACTCACTCACCATTGCGAAGTTCCTGCATGAAAATAACATTAACTCTAAAACTTAGAAGTTACAAATCCCCATGAACAGGTTACTTGAAAACATTGATATTTTCAGTAATAGTTATGGTTTTCCGAATGCTGCTCACATGCTTAACGCATATATTAATTTCCATTTGACATTTACAAGATAGGTAACTCTACTCCTACTTTCCACTATTCATCTGCATTGGGTTTAAATTATTCTATTATTCTCTTTCGGTTTAAGTAAATCTAACCATGTTTTAAGTTTCACATGCATAAGGAGTGGTTCTGTAGCTAAACAGGAAATTAACTATTAACTGATCTTTTGATCAAGACGAAGATTTTTGTAGTAAAAAAAGTGTTTCTTTTTTTTGCGGTTTGCACTTGTCTTTTCCGCAAGGGTGATATAGTGGAGAATTTAAAACTTGATATCAATCATATGACAAAATTTAAAAATGCTTCCTTCTTGTAACAATGTTCCTATGAAGCGCATTTCTTCGTTTTGAAAATGACTGGCATATTGTCACTTGTTATTTTACTGGTCATTGCGATTCTAGATGTTTTAAGTTCGAGGATTATCTGGATATATTGTCCTATCGCTGAAATTTGTACCTGCATGCCACATTACATCAATTTTCTCTTGGAGAATTTTCATGATTCTCAGGTTATAACGTTCTCCGTCAGTTTAGCATTTAGTGTGCTTTTGGTATCCGTTATTCCTGGTCAATATTGATTACACCTGTATTTTTGTGTAAAACTTGTTGCATTCTGATTTTTTCCATTGTTTACTGTAATCATACGTCAAGCTTCCAAATGTCACCGGCCGGAGTCGTTACTGGCGCAGTTGCCAGATTGTGGAATAGTCTCTAAGGTTTCTCGCGAAGAATAATAATTCCTTATGTTAAAATTAATTCCTTTTCAGTGTTTGGGTAATGTAACTCGATAGAACGTTTCTGGTCTTTATTACTTGTTTAGTGTTACGTTTTGCTCCGCATTCTCGGTTGTTGTGATTGATACATTGATTTGCTGGTTGATTTGGCATTACGCGTCGAGTTTATCTCCACCTGTGATCGTGAATGCAGTGGAGTGAGACGCCCAATGGGACTATGTGAATGTTAGACAAGGATATCTTGATCTTCGTTGTTCGTGAGGGTTGATTTTGCGTCTAGAGAACACATTAACGTTCGAATGGGCTTCGCAGTGTAATTGAATTTTTCGGTGTGATTTTGGTGATTTTAAAGAAAATACCAGGCCACCGAGTTGAGACATCCGCCAAAGATTCTTCGAGTAAACTATTGTGCCATCATCTGGATCAGACATTTGGATGTTTTTGTATTTGTTTTCTGATAGGTTGTCTGCGCCATTTTGGGGATGTGATATATGTACGTACCTCATGCATCCACATGAGGTTCTTATTTTTGCTTTGTTGGCACAATGCCAATTAGTTGATACGTCTTACACTCGTACGTAAACCCCGATCAACACCTACAGGTATGTGATATTTTATTTCGGGTGTAGTAACTGATTTTTGGCATTCCCTTACAGGGGTTTTTCTTTTTTTCCTTTTATTTCCTTTTTTACCATTTTTTCTTCCGTTTTCTATCTACGTTGTTTGCCTTGTAGGGCAACGTTTTGGAATTCGACAACTATTTGCTGTTCGCTGCTGGAGTGACTCGCTTAATTTGGTAGCAGGTCTTCACCGCAACCAGTCAATCGATCGCGACCGTGCTATCGGATACAGCCGGAGTCTAAATCAGCGTACACGACTGCAGCCACTACTTACAGGAACCGCAAGGTATAACACCTTTTTTTTTATTCAACTGAATTTATCAAAACTGAGTTTATATTTAGCCTTTTAAATTTTTAATTATCATTTTCATAAGTTAGTTAATAAGTATTTTACGTACTCTATAAGTGAGACATTGCATTATGGGGGGTACGTCCATGTAAACAATCGTGATCAAGGGTTGGTTAAAAGTACTCACTCAATTAATAGTTTTTTTTTTCATTCATTTATTTTGCTGCACACAAACTTCTTTGAATCCTTTAATACTTGATGCAACACATCTTTTTTCCTTTTTCTTTAGTCAATTTTTTTTTCTTTATTTCTTTAAATATATTTCACACTATCTTTCCCAGTTGAACGTGCTATCCGCCGTTTAACATGATCTCCAGAGTCATTCTGCAAACTAGCGAAATTTCATCAGAAAACACTATAGTTGTCTCACGCTAAAGCACTTGTGTAGTAGAAAAAGTAAGGGCAACCAAATGGATCCATTCAAAATGGGCATTTTTAACTGACTAAACATATTTTTGTTGAAACTTCTGTCTCAAATTAAATCTAGAAAATTTGAAAAACTTGAAACTAAGAAAACATTCTTCTAATTCGAAAAAATTAATTCTGGAACTAAATATTTTATGAAGCATTCTTGAAAATTTTCTTGAGTCATCTAACCATTATTGCTGTTTGCTTTCCAATTATCAGTGGCGTCAGGTAATGAGGTTTTGATGCCTTTGCAGTAGGTCTACGACATTTTCCTTGGCCGAGTTGTGAGGGTTGCCAGCTAGTAAAAATTGCATCGAATTGACCTTTTTCTTTGACATTTTCACTATTTCGCATTTTGAAACTGTGCATTTTTTTTTAGTGTCAACAGTGGATTCAATTATAATTCACTCTCATCTCACAAACCCCAGTTTCAAAATCAAAATATGAAAAATAATTTTAATAGAATTTTCTGAAATTTATTGAATTTTTATAACATTGATTTTCATATAACCAACTATGGCGTTAACTCGCCTATGAATCGAATGTGCAAGCTGCAAATATTTTACTCACAAATAACTAGCGTATTGATTTATTTTCTGCCTCTCAGTAGTTTTAATTGCAAAGTAAAGAAGACTGTTTTTAATCAACCGGTCGCCTTGTAAACGTGGTAGTTTAGCAACTGTAAGTGTTGGTGTTACTATTTTTCTTAGGTATACTATACTGTAATCATAATAAATGCTAAATGCGTAAATAAAAATTTTGATTTTAATTTTATAATGTTTCACAAGCGACAAATCATAATTAAATTCTGGGATGACCAGCTTTTCAACCAGATGTTAGAAAAATAAATACAACTAAATTCAATTTCAGGTATAAAGAAAACGGTCTTAGAATCTTCAGGAGGAATAATTTAGTTTTTCTACTCCCGTCTGTAAAATACCTAATTATCCACCGATCTAGCGTGCGGGAAGCGTACCACGAATCCGAGCCACTGCGGACATTTCCGCGATTTTACCGCACGGGTTTGGGAGCAATCGGATGTTATCGGAGATAATTCCCACGTTTTGAATTTTGAATTTGGTTTTTGGAGTGATAGCTTACTTTTCACACCAGATCGGCTAACTCCCGGTTTGGTGGAGCTTTTTGCAGCCCAACAGCTCCTTCATTCTATTGTTCGCCTGTAGATCATTGGCCAGGATGACTGTAAGTTATAACTGTTTTTCATTATTTGATTAACAACCTGATTAACAGAATTTCTATATGGGGAGGCATAATATTCAGTGCCCTTGATTGCTAATAAAAGAAAAACTTGTGGCGCATAATATTGTAAGCAAAAATATATGAAAGTAGAAAGTAAGAAAGGGAAATAAAATGAAATACTAAAATAATTAGTTATTGGTAATGGACCAGGGACTGAGTTGCAATTGATTCTGAAAAGGATTCTGAAACTAGGTTTGATTATTGATGTAATTAAAATGGTGTTCTGTCAAATAGGTTTGAAAAAGCTTCAAAATAGATGCAAAACATCCTCATTATCTTATATTCCCTAGGATTGACTCCCACAATCCACAAAAAATCAAAACTTGATGCTTGAAGTACTATACTTTTTCTACAGTATTGACAAAATAATACATACTACTTCTTTCCATAAAAGTTAATTGATCAATAACTAAATGCCCATTCAAGGTGTATTTTACTCTATCCAATCCAAAAACTTACTTTTTTGTTGTTTTTTATCTATAATTTTTCTTTTTACATTTTCTTTACATGGGATATTCAAGTGTTATCGTTTTGTGGTTGTGGTTTTATGACTTATCCCCCTTATTAATAAAGCTAGCGTGTTGCAGTTTTTGTCATACAGGGTGGCTTTGAAATACTTCATTTTCAGAAACCCTTGGTAGTTTGGTTATGCGTTAACTTATTGAAAAGGTGAAGACTGACGTAGGTATAGTTTTTTACGATCCAGTGGCGTAGTCATCAATTTTTCCTGATCACGTCAGAGCTAATTCAAATACAATCATTTTATTTTTTTATTGAGCAAGTAATGACCAAATGAGCTTCTGCTTTCATTAATGCTTCATTAATGTTGCAAATCTTTATATATTTTGTCCTTATTACTGTTGACAAAGCAATCTACAAAATATCTTGCCTGCCTTACATATATGTACTTGTTCTTTTTTGCCAAATCTAACAGCTGTATTCCAATTATTTCCAAGTAATTGTATTAATTGAAAAATATTTCTTCATGCTTTTTTTTAAACTACATTTTTTCCCAATAAATTGGTCCCAGATAATTTATGAAAAAAAAAAAGATGTTTGACGAATGTGAAATATGTTTTATCCCAAAAGCAGTGTAAAGAATAAGAACGCGCATATTTTTTGCACAGAACTAGGTCTATTTTGCCAAGGTTTGAAATAGTTTCTTTGTAGATAAAATTTGCAAATTACTGTTTATTATTTTTTTTGTGTGTTTATAAATTTTGAATTTTTTATTGTACTTCCCGAGTAGTAGTAGAGTATTTTATTGGGGTGTTTAAAAAAAAAATGTTATTGAAATCAGAGATTTTTTCTATGATAGTTTTATATGTATCTATTAGTTTATTTGTATATGCAAGATATATCTTACTCTGACTTTCTAACTTTTAATAGGATGCTCTGTATGTTACTGCAAATTTGGACGAGTCGAATGACGTAATGTATTGTGTGGGTCTGGGTACCAACGTTTCGGATTTTTTGATTTTGTTCTTCAGTCTGACAAATTCTTGAATTAACAAATTCGGTAAATAAAAGTTTTTTGAGATTTGTTTGCATGAAAAGAAATCGAAATGTTATTTTAACTACACATGTTTAAACATTATTGTTAAAATTTAAACATGTTACTGCAAACTACACGTTTTGCTATTAAAACATTTATTGATTTACTTTTTACAAAATTTCTTGATTCATCCTGCGTCAGTTTTTGCTGAGTCGAACTTGCCGACGTTTCGCCAATCATACTGTTGGCTTTTTCAGAGCTTCACTGAAACTGATTCGTATTTTACTCTGGACCTGCTTATATATTGTTTGAGGGGGGCAGAGCTAAATTAGCGGCATAAACACCGTCTCGGATGACTGATCCCCATATTGATGACAGATAGAGACCTGAGTCGCGGTTAAGATTGTTAGGTTGTTTATAGATTTGTATAGATTGTCGGATTTTTCGTTGGTAGAAGAACTGATTACGTGCAAAAATTTTAGTTTTATCGAATAAAATGTTATGTCCGGTTTCATGAGTGTGTTCGGCAACAGCCGATGAGTTTATTTGTCTTAGAGGTAAGGCTCTTTCGTGTTCTTTGAGCCAGCTGATATTTTTCGTCCGGTTTCTCCAATTTATTCTTTGCCGCATATGCATGGAATGCTGTAAACTCCTGGCATCGCAAATGGAATTTTGTTTTTGACGGACCGAAGATGTTGAGAGATTTTTGAACAAATGGTAAATCTGCTTTTGACGTTATACTTCTTTGGAACTTTTGATATGTGGTCAGTGATCGCTATTGGAAGGTTGTGGTGAAATGTATTTTTTGATAGAACGCTCAATATCTTTCATGTGGAAATTATTAGAGGGAAGAGCAGAGGTAAGGTGTTTTAACTCTGATGGTGATGTGACCATGCATTAAAGTATCGGTCTGTGCGCGTAGATTTTCTGTAAACACAATGACCCAATGTTGTCTGATTTTCTATTGATAAGAATATCTAAGAATGGAAGATTATTATTAGTGTCTAGTTCAATAGTATTGTATTGTATAATGTTTTAAAAACTACAACTGTCATCCAAAATACATAAGAGACAAAAAGTGTAAAGTAAGAGGTTTATTAAACTAAATAAGTTTTAATACCATTGGCGTACATAAAGAAAAGTTGCTGATAATCCACATAAAAATCTACATAAAAGTGAAATATGTGTAAAATTGCGAGATTTATAAATAAAAATGTTATTTTATGAATACATTTTTACACCCTGCATTTTAGAAACCGGCCCCGAAAATGAAAAATGGCATAATGAAAATCACATTTATACACAATGTGTCATTAACGGGATGACCTATACTTTGACTCACCCTGTATAACATATATTTAAATAGAATAATGGTTTATTATGCGAAAAGTGTGGTAAAGCGGAGCGAGTGTTTGTTAAATGAGTGACTTAAAAGGTTTACCAAACGTGTTGCATATTATGCTTTATCTACGGCTGTCAGTTCTTGTGTATTGTAGCCTATATTGTTAATAACAAGTAGTTTGTCCTCAAGTCCCTTATTATTATTTAAAGCCATTATATACAAAAAGACAACATGTTTAAAGACTTTTCGTAAAGATCTTGTACAGGGTGGCCACTTAGTGTTGCCTGGGTAAACCCAACTTCATTTTTTTTTAAATCGAACATCCTGTATATTATTACATTTTTCGATTCTACTCAAGTTTCTAGGAAAATTTTATATATAATGTTGTTTCGTTTGCATGCTCTTTTAATAGTTTAATTAATGTAATTTAGTCATTTTTCTAATATTAGTTGCCCTAAAAAAATACAAATTTTCTACCATTACCAACACGTTTTAATTCGTCGTTCGTGGTTTTCTCTCTTCATTGTAGCGGGCGTTTCGATAGACTTTATCCAAGTTTGTAAGAACTGAACGTTTTTTTGTGAAAACCATGTTGATTTTGATCTATGTCATTCTTTACCAGAAAAAACAACTGTAAATAAATTGCAGCCTCAAAAACCTGTGCAAAGAGTTTTCGTCGTGTAAAACAAATTTGATTTTTTAAAAAACTTTATTAAAGCGAGATGACATAAAGCTGGCGATGTGGTTCGCACCGTGGTTTTATATAAACAAATTGCTGACACTTTGGGAAACAATATGTATGGGAACTTTTATTCAGCGGTTTACAATATTAGAGCGTTTATAACACCTCCGCCCTTAAATAAAAGCACGGGTACAACAAGTGGTTTTAGTTTAAATAATGATATTCTCTTTTTGTTTATTAATTTTAGGTAACCTTTTAAATGGAAAACATCTATATAACAAATAAATCAAAATCAATATAATTATTAGGTACAACAAAATTGTCCAAACACTAGTTCTTGTAGAATATATAGGTAATGACATCTTCCCAAGGTTTTCTTTTGCTTCGTCCATTTGGATTTGTAGCTCTTTTATTGCCTTTAGGTTGATCGTGTCCAGTGTGAGTTCTGGTGGATCGAAGATTGTTTTCTGTTTGTGTAGTAGTGAGAAATTCACTTCCGGTAGACGGGTGTCATCAAATCTCAATCGATTAGGGGTATAGGTCCCTAGTCGTTCCAATTTGTACTTTGCAAATTGGGGAAGACTCGATAAGGTGAGATCCGAATAATGGTACAATGTTAATGTCGTCATTACATTGTACTGTTGCTATTGTCTTCTTAGGTGTCAATCCATTTTCCATTTTGGATTTTAAAAATTTTTATTTCTTGAAGTTGGATTTTAATTGGTTTACAGTTTGTCACATTGGTCTTGCGAGTTATTATTTCCACTGAACAAGGCGGGTGTTCCTTCATATGGGTAATATATATATTTTTACACATCAACTCATTTTTTAATAGTTTCACACATTTAGTGTCCATAAATGAGTATATATTTCCACTCAGGTATGGTTGGATCGGTATATTGACGTAATATTGCAGTTCTTGTTCACTATTAACTGGTAGCGGATACAATTGGTAATATTGATAAATTTCTGATTCTACTAGTGGTAGTTCCAAAATAAAAGTTATTATTAGTCCTCTAGAGTAGCTTTTTATTTCTATAATTTTTTCAAAATTTAATATATTTTCGATAGATAACTCGAACGGTAGTTGGTTTTCCTTTAATTCTTTTTTAATGTTTTTAATTTCTTCGAATAGTTCGGACGGATCAATTATTAAATTATATAAAGTATTTAATTTAGCAAAGCTAATTGCGGTTTCGATTTTCTCAAAAATGTTATATATTGAATTATACATAAAGGTAATTTGATTCATTACTACATGTATTTGGAAATACTCATAGTCGTTCGTTTGTTCAACAGTTATCTTTTTGATTATTTGATCAATTTGTAATATTTTGTATTTAAGGATGAGTTGGTTATGAGAAATATTGGATATCAAATTTTTAAATGAGTTGATTGTTTTTTCTAACGGTTTTATTTGATTAATTGAATTAGTTCCTAAATTATTTTGGTTTTCTTGCAGTTGTTTGATTTCTATATCGTTTTTTTGCCTCGTCAGATTGGTCTAAGTTTCCAGTAATACATTTAATAATAGAACCGATTGGGTTTAATAGACCTCTTTTATTTCTTCTTATATATGATGGATTGAGTTGATTAATTTGGTTTTCAATGCGTTTTGCCAATGTTACAAGAGGGATGACTGAATTAGAATATTCGTGAGAATAATTAGTATTATTTTTAATCTGACTAATTAATATTTTTACTTTGTTATAGATTGCATAGAATTCAGCAACAGCTGGGTTTAAATCAAAAATTTGTATAAAGAAGAATTGGTTAGAGGTTATTTTTGCGGTACCTAGTTTATAAGGAAGGATTCCTAGATAGTTGTTCAGGTTGTGGAATTTTACTTCGTTTGTTCCGATGTTTGCGAGCCACCTGGAACAATGTTCATTATTTTAGTTTCGTTAACGTGAGTTATTTCTTTTTTATTTGTTTTTGGGTTTTCTATTTCAATTTTATTATTATCTAAGATTTTTGTTAATATGAATGGTCCAGAAAATTTTTTATTTAATTTACCTTTTCGACTTTCGATGCGCTTATACACCGTTGCGCCAATTTTTAGTTCTACTGGAGTTTTGTTTTTATTAATTTTTATTAGTTTTATCGATCGTTTTGTTTTTTTAAAAGGGAATCGTTATGTACCTTTTCGTAAAGAAGCTTAGTATTTGTTTGATGGTTATTTACGTATTCACAATATATTTGAGAAGTGATTAGGTTCATAGGGTCACTTGTATCAGTGTGTCCTAGTGTTAATTCAAAAGGCGTAAAATTAGTATTTGTGTGTATAGTACTGTTATATGCAATGATCGCATAGGGCATAAGTGAAATAATATCGGAATTTGGTATTCCATAGAATGAGAAGAAATGTACTAATTTTTGGCATGCTGAAATCGCAGTTCTTAGAGAATTTATCAATTATAGTTAAGAATTTTTGTCCGCCGGCAATAAAGGTATCGACGTGTATAATTTCAAATGGTTTTGAAGGTGTTTCAGTTAACATTAAAGGTTGATCTGGTGGTTTTCGTTGATATTTTGCTCGCTGGCAAATTTCACATTCGTTAATATATTTTGTAACATCTGACTTTAAGGATTTCCAGTAATAATTATTTTTTAGAAATTTACAAGTTTCTTCTATGCCTCTGTGATTAGTTTTACCTTCATTTTTATATTTAATTAATATATTTCGTTCTTGTTAATAATTTCATTTAATATAGGTATTCCCTGTAAAGTTTTGTCATTATTAGTACTATGTATTGTATTTTCAAAAACTGGCCTTAAAAGTTTGTTTTCAAGAATGATTATTTTTGGGCTTTTTAGGCGTTTATTTTCTATTTCCTCGAGTGTTTTTGAAATTTCATTCCAGTCTAATTTATTCGGATGAAAATTGTTGTCTAGAATATAATATTATAAATTGACACTATAAATAGAGTCAGTTTCTAAAGCATTTAATTTTATTCGTGACTAGGCGTCCGCATTTGCATTTTGTTTGCCATTTTTATAAAGAATTTCGTAGTCAAATTCTTCTAGTTTGTCTCCATCTCATAAGTTTTTAATTTGGTTCTATTAGGTTAAACAACCAGACTAATGGTCTATGGTCCGTAAAAATTAAAAAATTAATTAATTAAAAAAAATAAAACCGTTAGCTAGATCCAGAGTTGAAAAATACTGAGCTTTACCGAGTTTATCGAGAATATCTGAAATATTAGGCAAGGAAAATTTATCATCGATTGTTTTTTCATTAAGTTTCCGGTAATCTATGACAACGCGCCATTTACGTTTATTTGATGCATCTAATTTTTTTGGTACGATCCATATAGGACTCCACGGGGAATGTGAGGGTTGGATTATATTATTTTTTAGCATTTCGCCTATTTGTCTATTTACTTCGGCTTTATGTACTTCAGGATGACGGTAATTTTTTGTGTAAACGGGTGTTTCGTCAGTTAAATTAATTTTGTGTTTAATTTGATTTGTGAAAGATTAATGGCACTTTATCGCAATAAAATATGTCTCGATATTCGTAACATAACTTCCTAATCGCTTTGTATTCTTCTTTATTGCAGTGATTCAGTCTTAAATTTTTTAGATTTTCTTTTTGCAGATTGTCGAAATTACTTATTGAATGTTCGATTTAATTTTCATTGTTATCTTCTATTTTTTCAATGAAATTAGTTTCACATTCATTTATTAATTCAATTTCTAGAGGTTCAATAAATTGTATACTAACAGGATTTTCAGATGTGTTAGTAATAGTTGTTAACGCACATGAATCGATAATTTTTACTAAAGCTTCCGGCATTTCGGCATTTACAAATTTTTCATATTTTAAGATTCCTATACCATTTTGTTCTGTCACGGGTATTTTAACTTTGTGTTGCTTGGTTGTGGGTAATCAAATATTGAGGTATTAAGTAGTGATTGCAAATCTCTCGCTTTTTTGCTGCACGTGCGACTTCAGTTTTTTTCGAAATGGACTGAAATTTAACCACCATATTTTTGGGGGTGTTTTTGGAGGCAACACCCGGAAATTGGATGACTCTGTGACTGGAGACAATATCATCATCCTGAAGTTCAATTTGTGGAGTCTCTCCAATTTTTTTAACAATATCTTCAACGTTTTCACCCTTTATCTCAGTAACCACCACATACTTCCAAGTTAATATTTCTATCCTGTTGCTTCATCCACTCCAGTTCTGATCTCAAAGAGCTACATTCAGCTTTAACTGATTCAAGTTCCTCTTTTAAGTTATCAATCTCCTAAGGTATTTTTTAACTGTTTCCATCTGGGCAGTAAAGTCATCAATTTTCCCCCCAAAAAATTACAAGGAATCTTTAAAGAGACCTTGCTCAACTTTTAATTCGCTCGTAGTTGACATGAGTGAATTAACCTTTACAATTACTTCTTGAAAGTACTTGGAGACATCAGGTTCCGTTCCTATACAATGTTTACATTTCCACACGCATCCAGGATCGCGATCCAGCTCCGCAATCGCGTTGGGCAATTTAATATATTTTAAGTGAAAATCGTTTGTGCAACCTTCGCATCGAATACCTCTGGGCTATTTCAAATTTTGTAGGTGCTCAAAATAGTTTTATGCGGGAGTCCGCCAATAAAGTGTGTATCACCTGGCACTTCAACCCCCCTTCGGCTCCACATTTTGGCGGGTTGTAGGAAGCGGGGGTGAAAGCGGTTAAAAGTCACCTTTACAGTGTCTTTTGTGGTCACATATTAACATATGAAGAGTTGAACACTGTTTTTATCCAAATTGAAGTCATTTTGAATTCTCGTCCACTTACCCTTTTTGGTACCGATCCCTACGACCTTTCAGCCCTCACGCCGGGTTATTTTCTTACATTGAAACCTGTGATGGCACCCCTGAACACGATTACACTTCGACTTCTGGTAGTCACTTAGATCGTTGACAACTACTCCAGCGAATGCTTCAAGATTTCTGGGCCCGGTGGTCCAAAGAATTTTGATATACGTATCATCAGCGTAGCAAATAGTATAAAGATCCTTCTTCTGTTGTAATTGGTACGCTGGTACTAATCAAAGATGATCTCGACCCGCCAATGCAATGGAAGACGGTATAGTTAGAGTGGCTCTTGTAAAGACTTCAAATAGCCCGGTTATTAAACTGTCCGCTACCAACAAATAACACACTAAAAAAATTCGTTGTATTTTGGTAGGCGGAATGTTACGTTTGCATGTTCTTTTAATAGTTAATTAATTTAATTTAGTCATTTTTCTAATGTTCGTTGCCCTTATATTAAAAGGGAAAAAGAATTTACTACCACCGCAATTTATGTTGACACTTTCTTAGTATTTTAATTTCCCGGTACGTTTTAAGGCCTATACGCAAGTGCAAAGTGCAAGTAGTGCTTTTTTGGATTCGAAATGTATCGATCGATCGGTACTCGGTAGAACGTTGCAGAAAAATTAATTTGTCGCTCGTGATGTTCTCCCTTCCCTGTTGCGGTCGTTCAGATAGACTAACAATTAACAATTATCTGTTAGTGACAATTTAGAGTGTTCCAATCGCCTCAGCCGGCCGGCTCCCCGCATAATCCGGGACTCCCAGGTCGATCAAACACACACTAAAGTAATAAGGCCTCAATTCGTAGTTTTCTTATAAATTATACAGTCTATTTTCTCGCCACTCTAGCCATTGTTGAGTTCGTCAATTAAATGTTCTATATCTATGTCTAATGGTTTTTGACATATTTAAGTTTTTATTTTAATTATGTCATTTGCAGGCCCTAGGACTAATACCAATTTTTCCTAAAAGGAAATCTTTATTTTTTAATTTGGGTTTAATACGTTGTTGGCAAGAACATACTTTATCACAATGTTTATAATATGTTGTTAACTAATAATGCATGCAGGGTGTTCAAAAAGTAAGATTAAATACTAATTTAAGAAAACTGTCAAAAATCTTTTTTTAAATGGACCGACCTCTCCAATTTCATAATTTTATCTTATTTACCATTAAAAATAATATTTAATTTATTAAAATAATAATATTTTGTTAACTAATAATGCAGGGTGTTCAAAAAGTAAGATTAGGTAATAATTTAAGAAAACTGTCAAAATCTTTTTTTTTAATAGACCGACCCCTGCAATTTTATAATTTTATCTTATTTATCATTAAAAATAAAGGTAAGTTTGTATAAGGTAAGGTTGTTTATGCTGAACATGTTTAGTTTTCGAAAGATTGATAAATTAATATTCTTATATGACGATTTTGCTGCGGTTTCAAACTTTGTTATATCTATTCTTAGTTGGCTAACACAGCGTTTAAAATCAATAATATTCCAAAGAAATATATGAGGCTGGTGATAGTTGCTATTTCAAAATTATCAATAATTTTTTGACCTAAATTTTATAAAATGTGACATATTTTTAGTTAAAAAAACTATAATATGTCAGATATAATACTTAAAGAATTGACTTGGATTTGGATTGGAACAACAGGTATTATAATAAATTTTCAACATGTCCTCCATAAACCGCCAATCACGTCGTATATATAGTTTCCATTTTATTTATAGCATCACTAACCATTTTAGATTCGTTGATATTAAGTATTTCCTGTATTATTTGCTCTTTGTTCTCCCTATTTCAGTCCGATTTTGATAAACTTTATTTTTTAGGTTTCCCCATAGAAAGAAATCTAAATCAGAGCTAACAGCTGTCCAAGGTATTGTTCCGGGTCGACCTATCCAAGTTGTAAATGGGTTGTTCAGCCAGTTAATAACAGATCGTGACGTATGATAAGGAGCACTATCTTGTTGAAAGATTTGATCATGTTTAACTTGTTCCAGTAGAGCGTCAATAAGCGGATAATTCTGCGTAGCTAGTAGGTTTAAATACCGATCACCATTAAGATGGCCTTCATAAAAAATAGATATTATACCACACTAACTTCTGTAACCCTGCTTCTGAATAATTTTAACACGGTGTTTGTTACTAGTAGATCTATTAATAATGCCGGTCGTATTAAAAAAACTTTCGTCAGTCCATAATACTGTTTCAAATATGGATTCAAAGTAACGGTCCATCATTAGAGCGCAAAATGTTGCTCTTGCATCCTTATCTTCAGCTGTTAATAACTGAACAGGAAGGAATTTTAATGGAAAATAATTTTGAGTGAATAGAATTGAATGCCAATTTGACTTCTGCAATGTCACGCGAGGCTTGCCTTTGGGGACTTTCTTTCTTCTCTTCGAAATACAGCAAAACATCTAATTGTTTTTCTTCAGCATGGGCAGTTCTCGGGTTCGTCCTGGTGTTTTTTTATGGCTGAAGTATTTCGTAGGTTACGCACTATTCTACTAAAACTCTGTTTAGTGGGTAATCTGCTTGCTGCATATAATTGCCGGTACTCCCGAAGATCCAAAGCTGGACTTTCATATTTTTGACAGTAATAAAATAAAAACGACGAATTTACATTTTACCGAGAGCCTGTGGCTTTTTTGTTTATCATGTTCTTCTTTCTTGACTTTTTATTCGTTGTCAAGTATAACACAGCACGAAACCCGCAGTAAAATCGTCATATAAGAATATTAATTTGACATTCGTTCGAAAGCTAAACATTTTCAGCATAGACAACCGTATCTTATCCAAACTTATTTTTATTTTTAATGGTAAATAAGATAAAATTATGAAATTTGGGGGTTTCCATTTAATGATTTTTGGAAGTTTTCTTAATTTAGTATTTATTGTTACTTTTTGAACACCCTGTATTATTAGTCATGAAAGGATTATAGAAGTTCTCTTAAACCCAAATTAAAAAATAACGATTTCCTTTTAGAAAAAAATTCTTGTTAGTCCTAGGGCCTGCAAATGACATATTTGAGATAAAAATGTAGACATAGGAAGACATTGGTATAGAGCATTGTATATGAAATTTTCCTAGAAACTTGGGTAGAATCCAAAAATGTAATAATACACAGGATATTCCATTAAAAAGTTGTGTTTACCCAAACAACATATTCTTGTATATATTCAATGCTCCTGGGACATACGGACAAGTCAGCAGTGGCGGAGCATACGCATCATGTTTGAAGACACTCAGGTACTGGACAGGACAACACATTTTTATCGACGACTCTTCAGAGAAGCCATTGAAATTCAGAAACATCCGAATAATTTCAACAGAAAAGAAAAAGGCCTTAACGTCAGCAGAACGTGGATTCAGGTCATAAACAAAACATCATGTCTACCCGGACGAATACGACCTATGCTTAATAGCGAGGCCACGCCCACTCCAGCGCTTATATACCGGGGATTCTCCACTAGGCAAATCAGTCATCGCAGAGCAGTACGGAAGATCACTTCGACCGTTACCGCATCGCCGCTCTTGAAAATATCTGCCGCAGTTGTAGACGAAACGTCGAGTGTAATCTCGGGGCCACGGCTCAAAAGTCCGGAAATACTTAGCAGTGTAGTTTGTGGCCATGAAAGCCTAACATCTTTGATACACTGATCTGTTTTTAAAACCCACCTGGTGGCGATCTCTGTGTATAATTATCTTGAGAGTCATAAGCTCTTAGCAGTGTATATTTCGGTGATTTTGGAATTTTTCAATTTTGAGGCACCTCTCATATCTCCGGTATTCTATGAAATATCGGAAAGGTGAAAAGGGCATCCGATGTTATATGTCCTATATGTTATTCAAAAAGATAAACCGAAACGTCAACCTAGATATTAAAACAATTATTTAAAGTGATAAGGAACATAAAAATTTTTAGCATTTTTTGCAAATCTGAACATAATTCTTTTAATTAATAAAGCTACGTTTTAGTTTCAGTGTGGCCTGTTTACTAGGCACCGAAATCGTATATCGTATTTTTGGAGATAATTTGATTGGTGTAGGTTGTGCTTTAGAGAAAATGGTTGACAATTTCAACAGTTTTTTTGGCTTTTTAAATTAAAACAATAGAATTCAGATTGGCAAAAAATGTTAATATTTAATGTTTTTTATGTTTATCTTTGGCGGATCGGGTGCAGATGGAGGCGGCCAGGACGGCTGTGAGGCTGGCGAGCTGCGGGCTCTGGAGGGAGGGAACCTTCAATCGGGGCCCGTACTACATTTTAGAGGGCGGGCTTAAGGATCGCGGGGTCATGGGCATGCCGAGTGATGTCATGATCCCCGAGATGACCTTCTTTGACAAATGGACCTTTCTGTTCCCATCAATTGAAAAGTGGAGAGAGGGCAGAGTCGGCTTCTGGGATGGACTTATCTGGCACACGGACGGGTCCAGAATTGGAGATCAGCCGGAGCTGGAGAGTACTGCGAGACAACGGGATCGAGCTTGGGTTTGGGTCAGTACTGCACTGTGTTTCAGGCGGATATTTTCGCTTTATTGATGGCGGCCAGAGAGTTGCTTCGGCCCAACCACGGAAACAGGAGGGTCTTCTTCTGCTCGGATAGGAGGGCTGCACTTATGGAGCTGAAGTCAGTGCGCACGCGCTCCTTGTTGATAAAGGAGTGCAAAGGGGTACTGAATAGAGTGGCCGAGGAGAGGAATGTCACGTTGCTCTGGGTCGCGAGAGTCACACCGGTATCCGAGGCAATGAGGCAGCGGACGGTATTGGGCTACAATAGTTGTTGACCATCTATAGGAGGGGGTGGGGGACGCAGGGCGCCCCACTTTAGTACCAATACCAATACCCCTTCCTTTCCAACGGGTTTGCTAAATCATAATTGCTAATTTGATAAGTCTGGTGGAAAAAATTCCTTCTTGAGAGAAGTGTACTACGCATCCATCGTGTTGCAGTCACGCATCTCCTCTCGTAGAGGGACGTTTTTTTTTTTATAAAATCGGCAAGTAGTTAAATCGATCACTCAAAATACCACTCTCGACGTTCGCATTCGACCTCTTTTGATAATTCGCTTTCACGCGTCCAATGGAAATTTACTGGCGATAATGCATATTATGCATTGCATTGAAAGGCATCAATATACACGCTATGCAAATTGACTATTTCTTTGCTCGAAAAAGTAGCTTCATTTGTTCATAATATTCGAAATAAAAAATTTGGGGTCCTCATCTATCCTACAATTTAGCCAATTATAGTATTCTATTCAAAGAGAATTTTAAGTAATTTAGTATAACGGCCTAGGTAGTGGTCTTTTAGAATTCGGTGTATCGATGTTTTACTAATACCCAAGTTAAGCCTGAATGGGCCATAGGCAAAAACAATAATGACGTTTCGTCCTGTTTTGAGCCAATATTTACTTAAACGACTACGACTTTAGGTTAAGAAAAATATATTGGCGGTTTTCACTGGGTTGTTCTTTTGTTTGTCTATTAATAAAAAATAATATCTTCGCATTTTTTCCTTTAGAAAATTCTGTCTAGTGCCATTTCAGAACTTCAAGAATAATTTTAGTCATTCAATTTTTTTTTCAAAATTTTAAAAACATGCATTTCCTCAATATCGTACCTAATTGCCCCTACTAAGACACACATAGATTAAAAGGAAGCTGGTATAAAGGAAATGATTAAGTTAGAACTTGATCATATTTATTTATTGAAGACCTTTTTAAAATTAAAACAATAAAAACAAAACAAAACAATAAAATAAAAAAAATATGTGAGTATGTCCATGATTTGAACAAATTTAAAAATTATAATTAATAACTGACCGATAAAACTGAGCAATGAGTTTTTTGCAGGTTAATTGCAAGGTCATAGTAATATTTTTTCTAAATCTCATGGAGGTAAGAAGTTGAGAATGTTTAGCTCCACATTTTGTAGCTAAGCCCTTCATGACATTTCCATCCATTCCAAATCTTCTGTGTTCTGTGAATATTGTATACGGCTTCCATTTGGGAATCACATCTCTAATTTTAAGAGACAATATGCTTTTAAAAATGATAGAAATAGGTTTTGTTCCTTTGCCTCCTGTAACCACTCTTAAATTGTTTGAATATAATTTTTTCCGCGGTAATTAAGGATTCAGCATAAACTGCCTGATTAAATATGGTGGTTTGAGCTGGTACATATTCACCACGCCACACCACACACACGCACCCACCACACGCACACCACCACACGCACACCACCACACGCACACCACCACACGCACACCACCATAGGCACACCACCACACCGCGATCGGACAATTACTCCCATTCATTTCTTTAAAATTTGCATTTAATATTGAAATTGTATAAATAGAACAAATGTGGCACTGGAACATATGATATCGGGATTTAGCGTTAAATTTTAGTTACAAGAGAATTGCTTCATTTTGTTCGATTCCGGCCTTAACCCCTACGTCCTGTTCTCAAACTTCAGCCATCTGAAATCCAAGATACCTAAATTTAGCTACTTGTTGTAGCACTTCGTTATTTACCCTTGTGTTCGTTGGCCCAAATACCTTTTTGGAAATAACCGCAACATTATTCTTAGAACATTGTGTTCAGTTCGTATTCGTTCCCGGCTTTTGTAACTCTTGAAGCGAGGCTTCGTATTCCGTATCCGTAGATTATTTAAGACCTCCCTATTTATTTTAACATCTTTCACGAAACCATTTAAAAATCTTTCGCTTTAAGAGATCAATTCTCTCGACCGCTCTCTCATAATCGATAGTGTGGTGGGAATTTGCAAGTTACTGATTTTAAAATGTCTAAACTTTACTCAGTATATGCCGCATTCACAAGAATTTCTCGATCTCGGAAAAGTCTTACCATATAATTTTCTCTTGTGTAGTTATTTTTTTGGATATTTTTAAGATTTTATTTTCGTTGTGGAGCAGTCGATGCGGAGGTTTACTTTTAAATAAACCATAGATTTCCTTTTATAAAATCATGGTCATCGCGCATCGTCACGCATCATCTGGAGCGCGTCAATCTACCTGTAGGATTTTATAGTTGACTCTTCCTTCGCTTCTGTGATTTTCAGTTTTATTTGTGAGTATTAATATTTATCTTGTAGTCTGGGGCTTATATTGTCTCGCTTTTGACAATTGTTTCCTTAACAGTTTCCAATAGTGATTGTGTGTCATTTCCTTCAGTGTAATTTCTTGCCTTTCATTTTGTTCGAAATGTTTGCTTTAATTTCTTTGTCATTAAGTAGTGTGATGTTCATTTTCTTCTGTCTTGTTTAAATCTGTCTTCGGTTTATGTCTATATAATTATTTCTGAAGTGTATTCTGATCGTCATGTGTTCAATCTCAGCCCTGTTTGTCGTCCTATGGCGATCTCCAGCTGTAAAGACTGCGTAAGGGTAATCTAAAGCATGCATTGCATGCATTGGTCATATCGTCCTCGCTCTGTTCTCATTCTTTGCCCCGTGGCCATTTTAATTCCTACAACGGACTCAAAGCCATTACATTACATTTTTAGTCATGTATACTTGGAACAATAGTTAATGGTTCTGACTGATTCGTGCCCATTCTAAACCTCCTGGTATTGTGCTCACGATCAGTAAAGGATCACCCGTTGCCGTTATCTCTTCTATGCTACCCTTAGTGGGGCTGCTATTTTTGCCAGATCTGCCTTGCAGGAGCTTAACGCTGCTTTTCTTGTATTACGTAATGAACTCAAATTATCGAATAACCGTTTTATGCTCATAAGCACGAAACAACCAGATCAGTAAATTCATCTTTATAAAATAAAAATGTTACATAGCCATTATGGTTTGTTTCTGAGCTACCGGTACAATTACAAAATCCGACATTTTGGTTATCGCTTAAATAGTTGGTGTTACTGAGTTGGATTATCATTGAAAAAATCAATTTAAAAATAGAGGGCATAATCTCCCGTGATTAAATCTTCAGAAAATAAATACTTTTCGTTTTTCTAACACGCCAGTTATTTATCGGTCGTGGGGACAACCTATATAGATTCTCATCCGTCTTTTTTATTGCTTCCCCATTTTACGCGAGGAGAGGACAATGCATGGCGAACAATTCTAGCGAGTACGTAATAAATTATTTATTTAGACTAGGTTTTTTTTTCTCTGGAGATATTAGTTACGTTAAAGTACAATGACACATAAGATTTGCAGCAATCCAATGGAAGTGCCCTGTAATTAGTTTACTAGTATTACTCAGGCTCAAATAATGCCACTAGTTAATATTTGGTTCAAATAGAAATGCTTTAATTTTTGGATATGTGGTCCAATTTTTCTAATTCAACACAAACTGTGGATGGAATAACTGATCTCAACGTGCATATCCAGAATTTTGTTTAAAGCTAGCGATGTTTTTTGGTTTGTATTTTTGCATTGGTTTGTTTTCAAGAGCGAAATAACTTTTGACCAACAGTGTGCTTTAAGAAAAGTATGACTCCCTACTCATTTAAAGGCAATGAATGCACAAAATGTGTTCCACTAGGTGTTTTAATATTATGGTAAGTAGTAACTTTTTTATGCATTCTTATACTGGCCAAAAAAACACTTAACGAAATGTAATGTAATGTAAATGTAATGTAAGTCAAAACAAAAAAAAAGTTCTACAATTTTATCGAACACTAACTTCTTGCATTATTGTGGAACTGACTGCATTTATATGGGGATCAAATGGTTGGTTTTTGGACCTCGGAGGTAGTTTGGGTTGCCGATGCCTGAACTATATTAAAACTCGGAGAAACGTCCACTGCTTATTAAAGCGTATACCAACAAATCCTACTTCCACGTCCACGTCGTGGTCCCTGGCCAATGCGTTTCGTACCATTGGTGTGTACGCTGCGTAGCTAACGGAAGAGGGTGAAGGCGAGTTTCCGGCGCCTAAAAACTGGAACATATCGTTTAAGAAGAATAACTCAAGAAATTGGTCTTGACAAATATGGAAGTTACTTTCGCAAGCCAACGTGGTGAATCCACCTGTAATAACAACAGCAAACAAAAAGTTAAATTTTAATAGAAGAAGCGAAATGGCGACGATTATGTAATCTGTTCGAGCAGTAAGAAAAGACAATATGTTAAAGGTAAAAAGTATTGACGGGCACATCTTAATTACTTTATATTTCCGAAAATAGCAAATTTGAGGAATGTGTCTTTCTATAGGCTATGAAGAGCAATATTGAATAACAATGATGTAAATTATTCAATAATTCAAGTGGCTGATGTATTTATAGAATCCAATTACTAATAATATTGTTCATTCCCACAGATAAAAATAATTGAAGAGTAAAGAGTAAAGAGTAAAAAGAATAAAAGTAGAGATTTCACTACTTTTAGCAACCTCGATAGCCTGGTACAAAGTGTTTACAACAATTCTTTTGCAGTCATGAAATTAGTTTTATAGACAATCTTTCAAAATGCCAAGTTGGATTTTGGCGAACCGTCTCCGAGATTCCAATCGGACATCAACAAACCAACGGATAAAATTCAATACCAGCTTACCACCAACGTATAAGTGAGAAATAGCAATGCCGATTATATGAAGACTCCTTGCGTTAATTCAATTAACATCTCCAACCTGGATTGGTCAGTGCTTGATCTGTGCATCCCTGGGACGGGATATCTGTGCTCAAGTGTTTTTCCACAAACGCGAAACTCTTGATAACACCCAACTACGGTTTTTGTGAATTCTCTTAATTTGTATCACGGTTGGCTTTTAGTTAGACTTAAAGACCTGATATGTCTTCCAAACTTCCGAATTCTTTCGACTTGTCTCCTCATTATTCAAATTTGAATTAATTTTTGTTTTCCAGAGTAACCTAAGTGACAGGCTTATTAATTTCAGTATTAATTTTATTGGTGATGACGTCGGGCCGACTGCGGTACGGATGCTTATGTAATAAATCGCGGGCATTCATCATTTTGGCAGCCATTGAAGTTAATGTCCCGTTATGGTCGGAATCTCATTGTAATAGAATATTATATATCTTTTTCTTTTCTCATTTTTAGTTATGCGCCCGCCTCGCACAAGAGTTAAAGGTTTTTTGGTACATTTTGATTCTACTTTTTGGTTGCATCCTTTTATTCAATGAAGAAGCGATCAATTCTATTAGCTTCTGCCAGTTAATGCTCTTTCGGTTACGAAGGTACACTTTTTAAGCCTTCATCTACATATGATAAGGAATAAATAAATGAGATGTTCTTTTTCTAAACACTTTTAAAGAGTCTTGAAGAATGTTTTATTTGATATTTTGATATTTTATTGAATACTGTTAATGAAAATGCAAATTTTTGGAGATTAACTTTTAGAGTCGAGTCAAGATGTAGAGGTCAAGATGTCTTGTCAAATTTCTAAGGGTTGATTCTGCCTTTTGTGCTGATGGTGGTGGCGATTTCGGTTTCTTTGAAGTCGCAGTTGGATGCGCCACCAATTTCTCTTCTGTAGGGATATTTTGAGATTATTGAGTATATGGCGTTGAAAACAATATTTTTACGAGAGTTTTGCTGATGATGAAGATATTTCTGGGTAGTTTTATGCCAGCGGTTGCAGTGTTTATAACAATAATTCGTCTGCTATTGGCGGTACTAAGGTTCTCGGATAATTTTGTGTGAATTATCCGAACAATTCATAACAAAAATAAGTAAAACAAAAGCGCATAGTTTACAACAATATATTCATTAAATAAATACGTTATAAATAAATATATAGGGACCAATTAAACATTTCTATAAACGACGACGTGATTCTGCATGCTGTGAATTTTTGGGGTTAACCATAGTGTCACGAAAGTGGCCTACCTGCCGGGCGCTAGGAAGCTTCACAGTCCATAAGTTGTTGATACACTTCTATAGAGCTACGATATGTCGACCACACTTGTTACATTCGAGAAACCGATGAAATCGTGTTTCACGAACGTAATTGCGCTCCTCGCTAAACTCGAGATCTTGGTAACATTTCGTCGTACTTGGTGGCCGTTGGTACCAAAGGATTTAGCGTCGATAAAGAATACCTTTTTTTTTGTCCTCTGTTGTCTGTTTCTCTGTAACGGACCCGCGGGGGCTTTTGGAGGCTATAACATCCGAAAGATAGGAAGTACTGGCTTTAAGTTTTCCTCCGTACTAGTACGAGGTCAAAGAATTTTTTAAAAGAATTTAACGATTCGTCGGATAGAAAAAAAACTTGAGGCGGCTGTTCGCTATAATTACAAATATTCTACATCTCTGAACGAGATAAGCTCCACTCTCGTGACTAACTTGAGGCAGCCGTTTTCTATAATTATAAATACTCTACGTCTCTGAACGAAATACGTCTCCACTCTCGTGAGGGACTTGAGGCAGCTGTTCGCTGTAATTATAAATATTCTACGCCTCTGAACGAAATAGTATCCACTCTCGGGACAATCTTAAGGCGGCTGTTCGCTATAATTATAAATATTCTACGTCTCTGAACGAGATTGTCTCCACTCTCGTGAGGGACTTGAGGCAGCTGTTTGCTACAATCATAAATTTTCTACGTCTCTGAACGAGAGAGTCTCCACTCTCGGGACTGATTTGAGGCAGCTGTTCGCTATAATTATAAATATTCTACGTCTCTGAACGAGGTAGTCTCCATTCTCGTGACGGACTTGAGGCAGCTGTTCGCTATAATTATAAATATTCTACGTCTCTGAACGAGGTAGTCTCTACTCTCGTGAGTCTCCACTCGCGTGAAGGGCTTGAGGCAGCTGTTCGCTATAATTATAAATATTCTACGTCTCTGACTGAAATAGTCTTCACTCTCGTGAGGGATTTGAGGAAGCTGTTCGCTATCATTATAAATACTCTACGCCTCTGAGCGAGATAGTCTCCAGTCTCGGGACGGATTTGAGGCAGCTGTTCGCTGTAATTATAAATATTCTACCCCACTGAACGAGATAGTCTCCAGTCTCATGAGGGACTTGAGGCAGCTGTTCGCTATAATTATAAATATTCTACGTCTCTGAACGAGACCGTCTCCACTCTCGTGAGGGACTTGAGGCAGCTGTTCGCTGTAATTATAAATATTCTGCGCCTCTGAACTAGATACTCTCCACTTTCGTGAAGAACTTGAGGCGGCTGTTTGCTATAATTATAAATTTTCTACGTCTCTGAACGAGAGAGTGTCCACTCTCGGGACTGATTTGAGGCGGCTGTTCGCTATAATTATAAATTTTCTACGTCTCCGAAGGAGATTGTCTCCACTCTCGTGAGGGACTTGAGGCAGTTGTTTGCTATAATTATAAATTTTCTGCGTCTCTGAACGAGAGAGTCTCCACTCTCGGGACTGATTTGAGGCAGCTGTTCGCTATAATTATAAGTATTCTACGCCTTTGAACGAAATATTATCCACTCTCGGGACAATCTTGAGGCGGCTGTTCGCTATAATTATAAATATTCTACGTCTCTGAACGAGATTGTCTCCACTCTCGTGAGGGACTTGAGGCAGCTGTTTGCTATAATTATAAATTTTCTACGTCTCTGAACGAGAGAGTCTCCACTCTCGGGACTGATTTGAGGCAGCTGTTTGCTATAATTATAAATATTCTACGCCTCTGAACGAGATAGTCTCTACTCTCGTGAGGGACTTGAGGCAGCTGTTCGCCGTAATTATAAATATTCTGCGTCTCTGAACTAGATACTCTCCACTTTCGTGAAGAACTTGAGGCGGCTGTTCGCTATAATTATAAGTACTCTACGTCTCTGAACGAGATATGTCTCCATTGTCATGACGGACTCGAGGAGCTGTTCGCTATAATTATTAATATTCTACGTCTTTGAAAGAGACAGTCGCCACTCTCGTGAGGGACTTGAGGCAGCTGTTCGCTATAATTATAATTATTCTACATCTCTGAACGAGATACTCTTCACTCTCGTGAGGGACTTGAGGCAGCTGTTTGCTATAATTATAAATTTTCTACGTCTCTGAACGAGAGAGTGTCCACTCTCGGGACTGATTTGAGGCGGCTGTTCGCTATAATTATAAATTTTCTACGTCTCCGAAGGAGATTGTCTCCACTCTCGTGAGGGACTTGAGGCAGTTGTTTGCTATAATTATAAATTTTCTGCGTCTCTGAACGAGAGAGTCTCCACTCTCGGGACTGATTTGAGGCAGCTGTTCGCTATAATTATAAGTATTCTACGCCTTTGAACGAAATATTATCCACTCTCGGGACAATCTTGAGGCGGCTGTTCGCTATAATTATAAATATTCTACGTCTCTGAACGAGATTGTCTCCACTCTCGTGAGGGACTTGAGGCAGCTGTTTGCTATAATTATAAATTTTCTACGTCTCTGAACGAGAGAGTCTCCACTCTCGTGACGGAATTGAGGCAGCTGTTCGCTATAATTATAAATATACGTCTCTGAGCGACATAGGTCTCCGTTCCCATGACGGACTGGAGGCAGACTTAGGCAGCTGTTCGCTATAATTATAAATATTCTACGTCTGTGAACGAGATAGTCTCCACTCTCGTGAGGGACTTGAGGCAGCTGTTCGCTATAATTATAAATATTCTATGTCTCTGAACGAGACCG